AAATGTACCATATTAAGATATTAATAATGGAAAATAGCTGTGGGGTATACAGCAACAGAAAAAACAAAACAAAATAAAATGAAATAAAATAAAATAAAAGGCTTAGTGTCCATGACACAGTACCTACTGGTCTAAAATATATGTAACTAAAGTATTAGAAGAAAAGAGAGACAGGAAAATATTTTTTAAATAAATAGGCAAATGGGTTCCAATACTGACAAAAACTACAACCCTAAGATCAAAGAACCCTAAGCATGATAAATGCAAAAAAAAAAAAAAAAAAAAAAAAAAAAAAAAAAAAAAAAAAAAAAAACACAACAAAAAACCCCAACTAAGGCACATCATAATCAATTTCCTGAAAAAGATATGAACAAAGAAGTTTTAAAAAAAAGTTTAAATGAGTCTGAGGGGGGAAAAAAAAACATGTACAGAGGAACAAAGATAAAAATTTCCTCAGACTTCTTATCACAAACTATCTAAGGCAAAAGACAATGAAATGACATCTTTAAAGCCTTAGAAGAAAACAAACTACCAACATACAATTCTATAACCAGCTAAAATAACCTTCACAAAAAGGTAAAATAACTCCCCTCCAAATAAAGAAATGAAAACCTATGAAAATTCATTACCAGAAGTACTGCATTACAAGAAATGTTAAATGAAATTCTCTTAGGCTAAAGCAAAATATCAGATGAAAATGTGAATACACACAAGTAATAAGAAACATCAAAAATGGTAAAATAAGGAGACAAATATAAAATACTTTTCACTCAAATTTATTTAAAAAGAAATTTTAAAGTAAGCACAATAGTATATTGTGAGATTGATAATGAACAAAGAAATGGAAAATATGATAAAACAGTGCATAATAGGAGAAATTTAAGTACACTCATGTGTTTTAAATGTTAAATGATCTATTACTTAAAAGTAGACTTGACAAATTAAAGAAGCCTACTGTAAATTTAAAACATCTACATGATAATTTTAAAAAGAGGCATAGTAAATAAGCCAATAGCGCTGATAAAATGGAATATGGAAAATGTACATTCAAATTCAAAAAGGTGAGAGGAAAGGAGGCCAAAAGTATAGATGAGATAAATAAAAAACAAAAGCAAACTATTGGTTTATACAATATGGTGTAGAGCCATTTCTCCCTGCTCCTCTCTGTAAAATTCTTCCTATGAAACAATATGAGACAATCAACAGTGAACTGTGAAAAGTGTTAAGAAAAAGGCAAACTGGTTTATGACCCCAGGACTGGAGGAACAACTGTAGCACATCCCTCCATTCAACAGTAGAAGGCCATCCAGACTCACTGTTTCCCAACCCTCAACCTAGCAACAGAAAGTAGGTAGTTTCATTCTTCTCCCCAGATTAAAAGGGAATCATTTTGACAGCTCCAGGCAAGCCAGAACCGCTGGCAAAGGGGACTGATCTAGAAGATCCCATCCAACAACAGGCAGCCTGGGGAGGCACTCCCCTTCCCTACCAAGAAACAGAGGTAGGTGGGCCGAAATGACAAGAGAGACCCAACCAGCACAAGCACCTTGTCAAGGAAGCCTCTTTGCCTCCACAGGCTAAGATTTCTCTTTTCACTGAGACACCAATTGAATGGTGAGATATATCATATTCATGGATCAGAAGAGTCAATATTATTAAGAGGCCAATTTTCCCCAAACTGACTTATAGAGTCAGTGAAATCATAAAACAATATTAAAGCTGTCTTTTTTTTTAAAAGAAATTGACAAGTTCATTCTAAAATGTATGTGAAAATGCAAAGGACTTAGAATAACCAAAACAATTTTGAAACAGGAGAACAAAGTTAGAGAACTTATACTATTTCCAAAAAGATTTACTATAAAGATAAGGGAACACAGACAGTGTAAAGAAGATATAAAGGTCAGAGGAACAAAATAAAGGGTCCATAGATAGACCCCCACACACACATAAACAAATAATCAAATGATTTTTTAAAAGATGCCAAGTTAATTCAGTGGGGAAAGGGTAGTCTTTTCAACAGATGGAGCTGAAACAGTTGAATATTCAAATGAAGTAATATGAATCTAGACCCTTACCATAGACCACATACAAAATGTACTCAAAATAGATCATACACCTAAACATAGAGTTAAAACATTTAGAAAACATGGGGAAAAAATCTTCAATGCCATTGGATCTGCAAAGATTTCTTAGAAAAGAAAAAACTGATAAGCTGAACTTCATCAAAATGAAAAGCTTTTTGTGAAAAACCACAGACTGGGGAAAATGTTCACAATTAACAAAGAACTCTTATAACTCAATAATAAGAAGATAAACAATCCAAACTAAGAAGAGGCAAATGATATGAACAGATGCTTCACAAAATGATACATAAATGGCCAATAAGTAACTGAAAGATGCTTAACGTCATTATTCATCAGGGATATAAATGAAAACCACAATGAAAAACCTATACACTCCTTAGAATGGCTACATCAAAAAGTGACAATTCCAAGCATTGACAAAAATGTGGAACAACTGCAACTCTTGCACACTGCTGATGGAAATGTAAGATGGAACAACCACTTCAAAAAAGTTTGATATTGCATATAATAACCCTACCAACCCAGAAATTTTACTCTTAAGTATTTAACCGAGAGATATAAAAACACCAGTCTACACAAAAATGCACATTAAGTTCATTACAGCTATGTTCTTAACAATCAAAAACTGCAAACAACAGGCGAATGGATAAAAAACTGTAATATATGCATACAGTGGAATACCACTCAGCAATAAAAATGAAGGTATTTACTGATACATGCTAAAACATGTATGAATCTCAAAATCATGCTGAATGAAAGAAGACAAACAAGAGGACATCTTGTATAATTCCATTTATGTGAAATGCAATTTAAAAAATCAATCTAACCTAGCGCTAGAAAGCAGATCACTGGTTTGCCAGGGGCCAGAAGGGATAGGGACATCCCAGGAGGGACTGGGAAGGGGAATGAGGAACCCTTCTGCATAAAGGGTATGCTGTCTTTCTTAATTGCAGGAGTGATTACATATGGTTATACTCTTATTAAAACTCATTAAATCAGCTACTTAAATAGGGTATATTTTACCACATTTAAATTATACTTCAAAGTTGATTAAAAAAACCCTCAAACCTTATTACTTTATATTGAAACTGAAAAATTTAAAAATCATAAACAGAAAAATGGACAATATTGTTATAGTTACATAGTCATATATTATGCTATTTTTTTAAGTTTTCTTGATATGGACCATTTTTAGTCTTTATTGAATTTGTTACAATATTGCTTCTGCTTTATGTTTTGGTTTCTTGGCCACAAGGCATGTGGGATCTTAGCTCCCTGACCAGGGATCGAACCCACACCCCCTGCATTGGAAAGTGAAGTCTTAACCACTGGACTGCCACGGAAGACCCCATATATTACATTTTATTAAAATGAATCAACTAAAGCAAAATATATCAACATGTATAAATACCAAAACCATGCATTTGAAGACAAAAGTTGCAGAACTCATTCCCAGTTATATCACACACATACACACAATAATATATGTGTATTATTGTAAAAGTAATGAGACATGTGGGATCAGTATTAACCAAATTTAGAATACTGTGAAAGGTGGTAACAGTTATAGTATGTAGAATGGGCTATGAAAAGCTTCCTGTAACTTTAAATGGGAGCACTGAGGTCTTATGTCCTAGAGTATTCTAGCCAGTACTCTAGCTTCATTCACACTCAATGTTTCCGGTTACTGAACCTAAGAAGAGGAAGCAGAAGCAGTCTCAATGCTGCCCCTGGCTGATCCTGGCAATTGTTCTGGGGATCTAGTCCATTCTGAGATCCCCTAGAGGTAGGCCCCTGGATGAACCAGACAATTAGGCAGTACAGTCATCCCTCAGTATCTGCTGGGGACTGGTTCCAGGACACCTCTTCAAATACCAAAATCAGCTGATGCTCAAGTTCTTTACAGTAGGCCCTCCATACTCTTGGGTTCTGCATATGTGGATTCAACCAACCACAGAACCACAGATAGGAAAACACAGACATGAAGGACCAACTGTATTTGCATGGGTAACAGCACAGTTGGGGTGCAGACTCATCAAAAACATGTGATGGCTCATGATGTGGAAGCCCATGGGCTGATACGTGTTTCTCCAAAAGTAGAATCAGAGACTGAGAAGATTATTCAATTTATTTGTGCTTTTAAAAAAGCTTCATATTCCAGTTAATACTTTTATAAATGTCTATTTTCAGTTTTATTTCTACTAAATGATTTGAAATAAGTGCAAAATATAACTTTTAGAATAACATCATATCTAAAGGAAAATTTCTGTCCATATTTCCTGTTGACAGGCTTCCTTCAAAACAATCTTCAGATATAATAAAGTCTGAATTCTGTTAAAGCCTTCACATTCAAAACATCTTTAAGACTTCATCTCAACATCGCCCTGCTCAGTAAAATGGCATTTCTTGATATAGGCTCAACTATATTTGCTGTATTCTTCAGGTATCTTCCCTATTATTTCCCTGACATACAGTAAGTACAACTTGTGTATTAAGTTTTCAAAAAAATACAAGATGTTGACAGCTCTCCCCAGGTGTGGTTTATCTGACTGTTAGTAATGGCCAAGTTCTGGAAGAACATTTTCCTACATACATTTGATTCACAGGATTATCTCCTACATAAGTTATTTGTTTAACAAGCCCTAACTTATAATATTTTCCCCACATTTCCTATATACGTTAGTAGGGTTTCTTCTACATGTATTAATTTTTTAGTTGTCTTATTAATAGATATTCATTACATTCATAGTAATTTCCCCTATGGTTACTCTTTCATTTACTTTGGAATATGACTTAGGGTAAAAAAATTTGCCACTTTACATTCATAGGGGTCATGTCCTGTGTGAATTCTCCATTGTATTTCAAGGTATGAAATGTTAGATACTAAGATTTCTCTCATTGCTAAATTTAAAAGACTTTTTTCCCCTGTATGTAATTTTGAATGTACTGTGAGAACTGATTTCTTAAAGGTTTTCCCACACTCAATACATTCATAGGGTTTCTACCTTATGTGTCTTCTCTGATGTACTCTGAGACCTGAGTTGCAACTAAAGGTTTTCCCACAGTGACTGCATTCATAGGGTTTCTCCCCTGTGTGTGTCCTCTGATGTTTAGTGAGATCTGACTTATGAGAGAAGGGCTTCCCGCATTCATTACACTTATAAGGTTTTTCCCCTGTGTGTATCCTCTGATGTACAGTGAGGACTGATTTCTCAGAGAAAGATTTCCCACACTCCTTACATTCATAGGGCTTCTCCCCTGTGTGAGTTCTCTGATGTGATCTGAGGACTGAATTAAAAGTGAAGGTTTTCCCACACTGATCACAGTGAGAAGACTTCTCCCCTCTGTGTGTTCTCTTATGTACTGTATAGTCTGACTTATAGTAGAAGGTTTTCTCACATTTTTTACACACATAGGGTTTTTCCCCTGTGTGAGCTCTCTGGTGTACTGTAAGGTATGAATTTCTAGAGAAGAATTTCCCACATTCCTTACATTTATAGGGTTTCTCACCTGTGTGAGTTCTCTGGTGTTTAGTGAGATCTGACTTATTGTAAAAGGTTTTTCCACATTCATTACACTTATAAGGTTTTTCCCCTGTGTGTATTCTCTGATGTACTGTGAGGACTGATTTCTCAGAGAAGGATTTCCCACACTCATTACATTCATAGGGTTTCTCCTTTGTGTGTGTTCTCTGGTGTACTTTTAGGCCTGAATTGCGACTGAAGGTTTTCTCGCACTCATTACATTTGTAGGGTTTCCTCCCTATGTGAGTTTTCTGGTGTTTAGTGACATCTGACTTATGACAGAAGGTTTTCCCACATATCTTACATCCATATGGTTTCTCACCTGAGTGAGTTCTCTGATGTACTGTAAGGTATGAATTCCTGGAGAAAAATTTCCCACATTGACTACACTCATAGGGTTTCTCACCTGTGTGTGTTTTCTGATGTACTGTGAGAACTGAGTTGCTTATGAAGGTTTTCCCACATTGATTACATTCATAGGGTTTCTCCCCTGTGTGAATTCTCTGGTGTACTGTGAGATATGACTTATGGTAGAAGCTTTTTCTACATTCCTTACATTCATAGGGTTTCTCTCCTGTGTGAGTTCTTTGATGAATTATGAGGTGTGAATTCCTAGAGAAGGATTTCCCACATTCATTACATTTATAGGGCTTCTCTCCAGTGTGGATTCTCTGATGTAAAGTGAGAAGTGACTTCCTAGAGAAGCATTTCCCACATTTGTTACATTCATAGGGTTTCTCTCCTGTATGTAGTCTCTGATGTTTGGTGAGTTTTGATTTTTCACAGAATGCTTTTCCACATTCATTACATTCATAGACATTGTCTCTTATGCCTGTTCTCTGAGTTACATTAAGAACTGACTTCTCCCAGAAAGGTTCCCTCAGGCTGTTACATTCAAATGTTCTCTCTCCTGTGTCAGGAAAGTTTGATCTGCTGAAATTATCCACTTTTTCAATATGTTCATAATCTTTCACCTTCAAATGAACTCTATGTTTCAAGAGAGATAATTTCTCAGAGGTTTTACCATATTCATTAAACTCATAAAGACTTTCTCTTTTTGGGGGGGTTGAATAATTACAGAATGTTTTATCACATTCCCTGTGTTCACAAGGACTCTGTCCCTTGTGAGCTTGTTTATATGTGATGAAAAGTGTCTTCTCACAGAAATCTTTCCCACATTCTTTGTAGTCAAAAGACTGCTCTACATTTTTAATTTTCTCATATGGCATGAAGTCTTCATTATGACTGAGGTACTTTCCATTTTGAATGAATTCATAAGGTATCTCTCCCACATGAGTTTTTTCATGGTTAATACGAAGGAATAATTTTCCATATGTGCTGAGATCATCAGACTTCTTTCTTAAATAGTTTTTCTCAATAATTAATTCTGAAATATATTTCAAACTCATACCACTTGTGTCACATTTACAAAGTATTTTAACAGAAGAAACTGGGTATGTGCTGAAATTAAACATTTTTCCTAATACATTACCTCTCTCTATAGTCAGTGTTTTGTTGTTGATAAATGGAGCTTGCCTGAAATGTCTGTCCTGGATTTCCTGACTCTTCTCTAGCTGGTTATCAACTTTGCAGACTTCTGGAAAAGAGAAAAAAAACACTATAAGTTATTAATTTTATTACAATTATGATAAACTTACACTTACATACAAATGCCCTTTTATATGACTGACTCAGTTTCTTGAAATAAGAGTAATCCAAGATGTTCGTGTCCCTCATCCTTTTGGCTTAGAAGAAATAAACAAAACCTGACAGAGCAGAAATGGGGGATAAAAACTTAGAATGCACCCATCTATGTTTAATAATTTATAAATATGTACTTCAAGACTTAATATAGAGGTTAAAAATAAATACAAATCACAGTGAATAAAGGAAGACAGACTTTGAAAAAAAAAAAAAGACTGATCCAGGTGTGGGAAATGCAGAGAAGCAGAAAGGCAATGATTAGTAGGTAAGAGTACCCTGGAGAAATATCAGAGGACTGATTTGATCTTTTGAAGGATACAGATTAGACTTTACATGATTTCCTTATACTTAAAATACTGCAGCTAAATCTCTATGGTTTACATGTTTCTAGTTCAATTCTCCTCTTTTTAAAATTATTTTAATTTTCTCTTACATATTGCTAATTTATTATACTGTTAATACCAAATTAAATTTATGGAAAAGTACCAATTTGTTCCTGCTTAAGGAGACCTGTAGCCTACTTTCTTATTCATTCTCTACTCATGTGACTTACAAAGAATAAAAATGTCTACCAGGAAATGTAAAATCAAAGAGACAAGGAAGACTGCCAGAGGGTCAGATCCATTTGTTTTTTTGTTTGTTTGTTTGTTTTTGTGGTACAAGGGCCTCTCACTGTTGTGGCCTCTCCCGTTGCGGAGCACAGGCTCCAGACGCACAGGCTCAGCGGCCTTGGCTTGTGGCCCCAGCCGCTCCGTGGCATGTGGGATCTTCCCGGACCGGGGCACGAACCCGTGTCCCCTGCATCGGCAGGCAGACTCTCAACCACTGCGCCACCAGGGAAGCCTGTTTTTAGTTTTAGTATATTCAGGTTATTCTCTAAGAGTTTCTGCAAAAGTTAACCTATCCAACCATCAAATGCTAACTTTTCCTCATCTTAAATTTTCTGTGACAAATTTAATATGTTAATGTATTTTTTTTTTTAACCCAGATCTCTACATTTCTGGGTTTTATTTATATTTAAAACCATGGAGGACCTGACCTAAAATATTCACTGATACTTACATTTATTTATCCTAAGAATTCTCAGCTAGACTTCATCTTGTTATCTTCCTGTTCAGTATTTGCAATATAACAATGATGACCCTGTTCAAAAACCTGTCCAGAGCCCACTGTCTCCAAGCATCATTAGACAAAATAGACTGTAGTTACCATTCTGCGGGGAAAAAAATACTTTTTCCAACTATATTCATATTGGGTACCCACACTATCACTCTACAAGGCCATAATAAATGTATTCTTTCTAGAAATGACAGACTATTAATTTGCCAGAAATTGTTCAAGTTCAACCAAGACTTTCACTAAGCTGGTTTACATTCCCATTTTGGCTTTGCTTAGAACTTAAACATTAAACATCAGGGAAATGACACTGTCTCATACCTGCTTCCCAATATGTCTTTACAAACATCTCTACAATTTCAAGTCCTATTTACACTGAAATTTATTACATTCTGTACATCTCATTCTATCACAACACTGGACAATACTCCTTTGTAACATAAACATCCTCTATTAACTGCTGAAATTTAAAATACTCAGTTGTCTTTTTTTTTTTCCTTCTTTTCCCAACTATAACCCATGGTCTTACAAGTGTTTACCTCTGATTTCCTTTGAATACCTTGAGTGGATATGGAATTAATAATGGTCCTTAACAAGCAGTGTGCTTTTCAAAACACAAATCTCAAATTTTATTCAAACTTGTAATTTTTGAACAAGAATCTAAAGGTTTAAAACTCAGTATGTGCATTCAGAAGTTAACTCTTTTGTAGTGTCTTCTGAATGAATCAATATAAAGGCCCTCTCACTCATCAAGAGTAACAATTAAGTAATGATCCAATATCCATTATAAGTTATATAACCAAATAAGATATGCTCTCTTTGGAGAAAGCATAATATACATAAGAAAACAGCCTCATTCAATATCCATACACTATCAAGAATTAGAATCTACAGCAGATAATGTATATCAAAACAAGTAAGAAACATTTCATAAAAGCTGGGGAACCTTGAGCTTGAATTTTAAAATTTATCAAAATATTTTTACTTCAAAGGATAAAAATTAAAAATAAAAATAAAGTGAATACATGTTGCAACATGTATACACATGTATTATAAGCTAATGGGAAATACCAAGATTTGTTGGAAATACCTCTTAAAAATAACTGCTTATTAAATCTATAATTTTTATTAAAGTAATGTACAAATATCTCATTAATGGGTATCATCAATATTTAAAACAAATAATTCATTTCAAAGCACTGTTAAAAAGCACATAAATACAAAGACTTTCAAGCTTTCTCTTTTATATCAAAAAATTCTAAACTGATTTTTAATGGATATAGTTTCTATTCTGTTTCATGAATGGTAAAGCCAGGATCTGAAGCACAAAGACAAAGGAAGTAGAAAACCACAAGTATTTAAATAAAAATCAGTGGATGGTCACCTTAAGGCAAGCACTGAGTATAAAAAAAAACCTAATTAATAAATATAGCATTCTATATAGTAGAATAACATCCCTTTTTGGATCACTAACCAAAAAGGGCTTAATTATTTAAAAACAAATATGCTAGTACTGAGTTTATACCAGCTATTAGACCAAATTCTTTGGGAGTGGCACATCAATGAATAAACCTTAACCCTGACCTCAGGACCTTAGTACATAGTAGAGGAAATGTGGAAAGTGGATGCACAAATACAGCTATATTATATTGCAGAATGTAATAAACACATAAAAGAGAAATGAAGGATTATGAGAGTGGGAACAGGTAGATTTTTTTTTTGAGGGGATCTATGAAGGCTTTTTAGAGGAAAGGGTAGAGATTTTTTTGTTGTTGTTCTGGACTTACAAAGGATATAAAAATTATAAAACAGATTTTTTTAGTACTATATTTTGAAATGAATAAGAAAATCAAACAATGGCAAAATGTATAGCTCCCTCTGAATATTAATGATTTTTATCATGGTAAATGAAGCATTATATGAATCTGCTGTACAAATACTGAACTATGACTAATTTAGTCATTCATATGTAGAGGGGATAATTTCCAAATTCTAAATATGAGTTTGGGTATTTTTCATCTTATAAATATTACTTGTTTTGTGAAAATATAATTTTAAGCAGAGTGCTCTTTTTTGCTCAAAAAATTATTTATGGCAATATATTATTTTTCTCCTTTGCCTCAGATGTTCGACAAAGTCAAGAAATAATCTAAAAAGAAGAGTAAAAAAACAAAAAACAAGAAAAATGCTTAAAAATATTAATAATGATAATAACAACAAGAAAAATAACAAGCCATCTCCATGAGCCAGGCTCTGTTCCATGTACTTTTCACATATTAATTCATGAGAATCACTGAGTATATAGGAATCAAACATAGAGCTGTAGGGAATGAAAGCATATATATGGGTGATACTCAGGAAGGATTAAATGGGAGTTTAGCACCCCCAGTTTTATGCCAGGATTATTAAGGGACTTCCCTGGTGGTCCAGTGGTTAGGAATTCACCTTTCAGTGCATGGGACGCAGGTTCAATCCCTGGTCTGGGAACTAAGACCCCACATACCACAGGGCAACTAAGCCCACATGCTGCAACTAGTGAGCCCGCGTGCTCTGGAGCCCACACACCACAACTAGAGAAGCCCAAGCCGCAACAAAGATCCCATGCATGGCAACAAAGAGCCCGTGTGCCACAACGAAAGACCCCACATGTTGCAACCCTGTGTGCCTCAATCCTGTGTGCTGCAACTAAGACCTGATGCACCCAAATAAATATTTTTTTTATTTTTATTTTTTTAACATCTTTATTGGGGTATAATTGCTTTACAATGGTGTGTTAGTTTCTGCTTTATAACAGAGTGAATCAGCTATACATATACATATGTTCCCATATCTCTTCCCTCTTTGTCTCCCTCCCTCCCACCCTCCCTATCCCACCCCTCCAGGCAGCCACAAAGAACCGAGCCGGTATCCCTGTGCCATGCGGCTGCTTCCCACTGGCTATCTACCTTACGTTTGTTAGTATATATATGTCCATGTCTCTCTCTCGCCCTATCACAGCTCACCCTTTCCCCTCCCCATATCCTCAAGTCTGTTCTCCAGTAGGTCTGTGTCTTTATTCCTGTTTTACCCCTAGGTTCTTTATAACATTTTTTCCCCTTAAATTCCATATATATGTGTTAGCATACGATATTTGTCCTTCTCTTTATGACTTACTTCACTTTGTATGACAGACTCTAGGTCTATCCACCTCATTACAAATAGCTCAATTTCGTTTCTTTTTATGGCTGAGTAATATTCCATTGTATATATGTGCCACATCTTCTTTATCCATTCATCCGACGACGGGCACTTAGGTTGTTTCCATCTCCGGGCTATTGTAAATAGAGCTGCAATGAACATTGTGGTACATGACTCTTTTTGAATTTTGGTTTCCTCAGGGTATATGCCCAGTAGTGGGATTGCTGGGTCATATGGTAGTTCTATTTGTAGTTTTTTAAGGAACCTCCATACTGTTCTCCATAGTGGCTGAACCAATTCACATTCCCACCAGCAGTGCAAGAGTGTTCCCTTTTCTCCACACCCTCTCCAGCATTTATTGTTTCTAGATTTTTTGATGATGGCCATTCTGACTGGTGTGAGATGATATCTCATTGTAGTTTTGATTTGCATTTCTCTAATGATTAATGATGTTGAGCATTCTTTCATGTGTTTGTTGGCAGTCTGTATATCTTCTTTGGAGAAATGTCTATTTAGGTCTTCTGCCCATTTTTGGATTGGGTTGTTTATTTTTTTGTTATTGAGCTGCATGAGCTGCCTGTAAATTTTAGAGATTAATCC